CTGGGCATTCCCACCTGCATCTGTGCACCCCTGCTGTGTGCTCACACCTGTGCATGTTTTCCAAAGGGCAGCAGAGATGGGAGATGGATGTAGCAGCTGCAACTTTGACTTGTTGCCTATTTCACTTCTTTTTCAAAATTTTTTTATTATTATTTTTGTGTGTGTGTACTGTCCAATCAGATCTGACTGATACAGGAGGCGATTGTCCCTCCTTCTCCAGCAGAGCATCTGGGGGATTCAAACCACGTATCCCTGGCATTGCAGTGCAGCTTCTTGCCACTAGGCCACCAGAGCTCCCCATTGACTTATTAGTCCATCCAGACGCTTGGTGACTCCATGTGATGGCACAGATCTGCCCCTTCTGCTGTTCTAGGCATAATCCTTATGCAAACAGAACCCTAAGTCTTCGCTCCCTCAGAGGAGTTGTGGGGTTTGAACTGTCCACCTTCTGGTTAGCGGACAACAGCTTAATGACTGAGCCTCCAGGGCTTCTCACAGTAGACCTGTCTGTACCTTATAGATCAACTAATAGAGATGTCCATGGGACACATGTGTGTCCTGATGAGATGTGGTGACACAGCCCCGAAGGCCACTCCCCTGGGATGCAGGACCAACGAGGACTCAAAGCCTTGGAGTCCTCTTTGATTTCTCTCAATCTCCTTTCCTCATTCCACCTGTTCCCCATCATTTTCTTCCACTTTCTTTCTATTTTTAAAAATAATTTTTTTGGTGTGTGTACCATTAAATCAGATCTGACTGATACAGGAGGAGGTTGTTCCTCTTTATCCAGCAGAGCATCTGGTGGATTCAAACCATGTACCTCTGAGATTGCAGTGCAGCTTCTTGGCACTAGGCCACCAGATTCTTTCATTTTCTTGTCCCTTCTATCTTTCTCTCTTTCCATCTCTCCCACTTTCTTCCTCTTTTTCTCTCCCTCTCTCTCATTTTCTTTCTCTCTCCATCTTCTTTTTTTTTTCTCTCTCTCTCTCTCCTCAGGTCCAATCTACTGGAAAATCCCACCTTCTAAAGAGACAGTCTCACCTTCTACACAGATTCCTAATCCCTCCACTTCTCACCCGTTGGTGGAATCGCCTCCCCTGCAAGTACCTGGATTCCAGCCGCAGCATCTCTGCCTCCACACCGGCCTCCCTGCTGCCCCCTAGAGGCCTCCTCCTTTACAGCAGCCTCTGCTCAGAGCCTCCCAGGACATCCAGGCCTTGCTGCCTGAGGTCCGCGGGGTTCTAGCCCCCCTTGACTAATATTATTCCCTCCCTCATCCTGCTTCAGCCACACTGGCTGCTCCTCAGACACAAAAGGCGGGTCCCCTGCCTCGGAGCCTTTGCACAGGCTGTTCCCTCTACCTGGACAGCCCTTCCCAGCTCCTTCCTGGGCTCACATGTCACCTCCCTCCCTCCCAAGGAGGCCCATCCTGACCTCTGTGCCTTTAAAGCTCTCCTCTCGCCCTCACCAGTTCCCTCTCCTACTCTCTCAACATAGCTGACTTGTCTGTATGCCAGGACCTAGAGTAAAGGAGGCCTGGTCGCGCAGCCAGCCGAACATGGGATTGCTAGTGGTGAGGTTGTTGGTTCAAACCCACCAGCTGCTCTGCAGCTCAAGTATGGGGCAATCCGCTCCAGGGCAGTCCTCTGCCCTGCAGGTCACTGGTGGTCGGAAAGATAATGACAGTGGCTTAGTGCATATCTAGAACTTGAGAGCTGCCACCAGCTTTGTTCACCGCTGCCTCCTGGGTGCCTGGAACACAGGCACCACGGAGAACGAAGTGAAGAGATGGTTAATAACCCCGAATGAGTGACAGGGGGCAGGGAAGTCTGGGAGCTGAGGATTGAGAAAGGGCCATTTGAAAGGACCCCGGGGCTGAAAGCAGGGGTTTGGAGGCAGAGGGCATCTGGCTGACCAGAGCCCAGAGGGGCAGGACTATCTTAGTGAATGAATCACCAGGAGAGGCATTAAGTGGGTGCAGCACCAGGAGTCTGGGGTTTCAGGGAAGACAGCTGCGAGGGTGGAGGAGGCATTTAGAGAGCGAGGAGTGGCTGGGGCCTTGAGAAGGTCCTGGGAGGCCTGAGCCGTTCGCGCTCAGCAAACCTAAAGGTTGGTAATTTGAGCCCACTAGCAGGTACAACTGAAAAAGGTCTACTTCCAGAGAGGTGACAGCCAAGAAGACCCCAAGAGGCACTTCTGGTCCATGACACGTGGGACTGCAATGGGTCAGAATGGATTTTCAGGCAATGATTTTGGGGTTTGGGGCTTCCGCCCCCACTTGATGGTCTTGAGGGGATGAGGTTGGGTTGACAATAATCAGTGTCCTCCCGGGTTTGGAAGTGGAGACTCAGTGGTTCACTGCCACCTGTTAGGAACTTGGCAAACATTTGCGGGGGCTGAACTGTGCCCTGGGCTCACTGCAGAGAAGCTGGGCTTGGCTGTGGGACGTGGCCTGGCCTGGGGCTGCGGCCGAGCAGATTCAGCTCCTTGCAGATAACTCACTCCTTGTGCTTTAAAGAGTTGTGCTGCCAACTCAAAGGTGAGAGGTTCGAATCCCCCAGCTGCTTGGCGAGAGAAAGATGGGCAACCTCCTCCCCTGCAATTTATAGCCTCTGCAAATTCGCTGAAGGGCCAGCTGTGAGTCAGTTCTGACTCTTCACATCACTTAACAACAAACAAGGTGCTCCTTGACAGCCTCCATTCCGTTCCTGGTCCTCACGGCCCAGCCTGCTGCACCCCTGGCCTGCCTCTCGCCTTTGCGAATGGAAGTGGCTCAAAGGCAGGGCAGGACCGCATCTGATTTGGACCTCACCCAGAACAGTACTTAGTCCTGAAATGGGGCTGGGAGTAGCTGTTAGAGGAATCAATTAATGAAGACAAATGGTGACTAGGGGACGTTCTTTAGGGGCAAGAAGACTGCAGCTGAGGGGTGGGAGGCGGACGGGATTAACTGGTAGAAAGGAGCTTGCTGGAGGAAGCAGCTGGTGAGGGTCATGGGGTCAGGTCAGAGGGACGCGATTTCACAGGGGCTGGGATGGGTGATGCGAGAGGCAAGCCCCCAGTTAGAAGGACAGCCCTGCCTTTAATACACTTTGCAGATCCTGCATTTTTATTTATTTTTTTTTTTTAAAAACCTGTAGGATTGTTGTAACTCTCAAGCTCAGCAAATAAATCCACGGGCACCACTTGTCCAACAGCACGTGCTTGCTTCCTGTCACTGTTTCCTGTCCTGGTCACTCACCCTCAGGACATTGCAAACTCTCTCTCTCTCTCTCCCACCCCCCCACCCCGCCGCTACTGCAAATCCTACTGAACGCCCACAGACCCAGCCCGCTGCCATCCAGTCCCTGCACGAGGGCACAGATCGCCTCATCTTACAACTCCTGTGGGTTTGAACCACCAACCTGTGGCGTAGCAGCCAAATCACGTCTGTGCTACTAGGGCTCCTCTACTAGATTCCAGTCGAGCGTAAACATGACTTTGACACGCACCGTGACACGAATAAAAGACTATTGCTTGTGACTCGATTTCTTTAGCTACCCCCTTTGTCGAGGCGTTCTAGATGGGGATCTGAAATCGCTCCAAAAGATGCCTGTATTTTGGGGAGCGGCAGCTCCATGTCCACCAGACCCAGAGAAGAGGAGAGCTTCGCACTACACCCCACAGAGGTGCACTCAGGTTTTGGGGTCTCCCGCACGCTCATCTGCCTCCCCTTCTCAGAAAGGACAGATCTTGAGGGCATGGGAAACACACTACCCCCTCCAGCTTTATGAGTAGGAAGACTGTGCACAAACTGACCAAATGCCTTTGGAAGCCGGATTCTCATCCAAGGGGCCACGGTCACAAGCGACCAGCTGACAAGTCTGGGGACAGTGAAGCTATTGCTGCCCATCTCCGGAGCTGAGATCTGAGATCAACACCCGTAAGAGGCATGGGCCAGCCTTCCAACAAAGAGCGGACCCTCAGCAGACACCCACGGCCCCACGTTGAGTGCTTCTGCCTCGCAGTGATCGTGCAGGATGGCACATAGTGCCCCCGGGAAGGACGGCTGAGGCTGTGAGCTGTACAGAGGGGGCTTCCTTCGCGGCCTGGAGCAGTTGGCACGCTTGCCCCACCCTCTTTTCGGTTAGTTAATTGCTGATGGTGCCACCACAGTCCTTTGGCAAATCTTTCACAAAGTCCACTACCCTCCAGTCTGTTTCTGCTCAGCGAGGCCATGCAGGAATGAGCAGAGCCACCCTGTGGGGTTGGTTTCCCCAAGAGGCTGAGCTCATTAAGAGCGCATGCCCCCATCTTTCTACCCCAGGCAAGTGGCTGGTGAGCCCAGTGGGCCCCTTTATTGTTTGGCAGCCGAGAGCTTAGCCCACAGCACCACCAGGGCTTCCAGTTGAAGGTAAGAATTTGATGACAACTGTGTCCCAAGGCATCAAGTGGGGTTCACCTTCACCGCAAGAAAAATGAACCAACGTTCCCAGAGACCACCTGTGCCAAGAAGCGCCCTTTGGGCATCCTCCCTCCAGCACCCGGAAAACAAATGTGAACCCCTTATCAGGAGGACATGAGGCTATAGATAGCTTGTATCCCCTGAGTGTGCCAGGTGCCAGCACGGATTTGGAGCCCTCCACAACGATCCAGTCCATCTCCTTGGCTCTCACGTCAACCTCACCAGGACGGGGTGCATTGCACCCACTTTTCTGGTAGAGAAAGTGAGGCTCAAGCTCGCGCCAGCTTTGGCCAAAAGTCAAGCGATGGGTGCCAGGCTCCACCGCAGAGGGGTCCCAAGCCACACTCTACACCCTGGGTGACCCCAGGTCTAGGCCAGACCGAGTGGGCCTCCGCGAGAACTCAACCTGCCAGGCCCTCAGCCTTGGAGGCCGCTCAAGTTCAAGGACTGCTCCCCGAAGTCTGCGCTCCTGGCTCCTCTTGGGGCGCAGAGGAGGATTTCAACCCGGCCCCTCGGCCCCTCCCCGCGCACCTCTCGCGCCCAGCTCACTGCTCACCTGGATGCCGTTCTCCTGCAGGTTCAGGTAGCGTGTGTTGACCGGGATGCTGGCGGGCACCTCCGCCAGCTCTCGCCGCGTGCAGATCACCCGGCTGGCCTGGTTGCTGCAAGAGCAGGCCGCGGGGCAGGAGGTGGCCGGCGGGGAGCCCCCTCCTGCGGCCGATGTCAAGGCCACGCCGCCGCCTCCTCCGGCGCCCAGAGGAGGGGAGAAAAGCCACAAGAAGAGTAGGGCCCCGTGGGGCCAGGACATCCTACCGGGCGGCGGCGGGGGGCACGGGGAGCCGCGGGAGCGCGCCATCCTCAATGTTCATGCTCCGCGCGGGCGCCGGGGGGCTGTGCGGAAAGAGAGAGGGCGAGAGGGGCTCAGTGAACAGTTGCAAACCCCTCGCGGCATCTCACCACCACCACCTCTCAGCATCCTGCCCAGCGCGCGCGCAAAGAGGGATTCAGAAGAGAAGGGCGCATCGCGCGCGCAGGCAGCGAGAAAGGTGGCCTGGCCTCTCCCTCCCCCACACCGTCCCTGCGTGATCGCGTCGCATCCCTCCTTCCTCCGGGGAAGGTCTGCTTCCCATTTTGCAGATGGGCAAAGCGAGGCTGGGGCGGAGGGAGGGGTGGTGGTGGTAGGGAAGCGTTCTTGGGGGGAGTGGAGCAGCTGGGATGGCCACCCAGGCTCACGACTCGGTTCTTGGCGTGACTGTACCACAGAGAAATGCAGAGAACAGAGGAGACCGTGGAGACCCAGAAAGGGTGAGTGACAAAGCCAGGAATCGCCTTAGGAGCTTGGTCCCCTCAACTCCTTGCAGGAGCCATTTGGGGGTGGCTTCAAGCCTCTTAGCCCTTCAGCTCAGTCCTCCCCACTCCAACGATCCCAGAGACCAAGGGCGGCTGGAAGGATCTGAGTTATGCTCCAAAGAGAAGCTTGGGGGAGGGAGAGACTAACAGACAGGACAGAGTACGGAGGTGAAGGGTGAGGGGTGGGAGGTGGCAGGGCTAGGAGGGTGGGACCAGGGTTACTATGGGGGGCCTGGAAGTGAGGCCTGTGACCGCAGGTGGTGCTCCGGGCGTCGGGTGGCTCTGGTGGCGCTGTGCCAGCAGCTGCCGCAGGACCGGACTGTGTGCTTGGGGGAGGGGGCTGACAGGGAAGGGACCTGGATTCCCAGAGAGGGTGGGCAGGAGAGGGCCCCATAAGAAGTCCCTACTATCCCTTCCCACTCTGTCTCCCACTCATTTGCACAGGACAAGGGGGGGAGGTTGGGACTCCGGAAACAATAAACTCACAGCAAAGCTGCTCGCCCGGGCCAGCGATTCCTTCAGCGACCCTGAAGGACGGAGCCAAACTGCCCACAGCGGTTCCCAGGCTCTAAGCCTTTACACAAGCAACGCTTTCTCCCTCAGCGCAGCTGGTGGGTTCGAACGCCCCACCTTCTGGTTAGCAGCCACTGTGCCTGAACCATTGCGCCACCACAGCTCCTCGCATAACAATGACAATGACAACAGTAGCAGTTCCCTGTGACCCTTTCCACGCGCCACAAACTGCGCGCAAACTGCCTAATCGTCAGGAGGAAGCTTTCGGAGACCCATTAGACGGATGAGGACGCTGAGGCCCCGGGAAGGGGAAATGGCTGTCCAAGGGCGCAGAGAGCTAAGCGGCCCCCGGGAGGCTCTGGCCTTCCGCCCGCCCCTCCACGCTGGGCCTCGAGTACACACACGCGCACCCACGTCACACGCTCCGGCCTGGCACACGCCAAACCCCTGCGAGCGAGCTTCCCACGAGAGGCGGTGGGGTGTCCACCGAACATCCGCGCGCGCGCGCGCGCGAGCGCGCACACACACACACACACACACACACACACACACACCAACGATGAGGACACGCGGACACCCTGGAGCGGTGGACCCCGGGCTCCCCCACGGGCACAGGCTCGCACACACGTCCATTCTCCTCTGGCCTCGCAAATCCCCTTCACCCAGATAAACACGCGCGTGTGTCTGTCTGCGCGCAAGGGAGTGAGCTGGCGCAGAGCTGGAGGCCCGCGCTGACCGGTCCCCCGGATCAATCTTCCACCCGTGGGGCTGGGGTTGGGTGTGCGCGGGGTGATCGCGGGGTGGGGCGGCTCTGTGTCCCCCACCCCGCGCGTATGGCCCAGGACGGCTGCGGTCCGGCTTCCCTCCGGCCAAGCCGCGAGCCAGCCCACACCCTCGAGCCCAGGGAACACGCAGCCCGAGAGGCTGGACTCTGGGGATGGGGGCTCGGGCGCCCCAGGAAGGAGGCCCGGGGGGCGAACCCCCCCCCCCCCCCCCCCCCCCGCTCGGTCTCCGCGCTGCGCATCTGTCCCCGCCGCTCGCTCCACTGCCAGCCCGCATCCCCCACCCCCCACGGCTTCCGCAGCGGCTCCCCCTTCCCTCCTTTGCCCTCCGCCATCTCCGTCCTTGGCGCTCCCTCCCCCAGCGTCCCCCCATCGCCCGTGAGAGACACTCACCCTGTGGCTGGGCTCCCGCTGGGCCTCTCCCTGCGCCCCCGGCCCCCCCCTCCACATGCCTGCAGCCCGCGGCGGCGGCGGGGGGCTCTGTCTCTCCCGTTCTCCTGGGCTGGCCGTCGAGGTCGTGTTGGGGGGGGCGCAGGGGCTTCTTGGGTCTCCCCGCGCCCCCCCCTCCCTGCAGGTCGCCCTTCCCAGGCCTCGAGGGGGTCGCTGGGCCGCTGCAGCAGCGATGGCCTGGTCCCCACCCCGCTGGCCACAGCCTGCTCCTGCCACCCCCACCCCACCTCGCCTCTGCGCTCCCCTCGCCGCAGCCCCCTCACTCTGCACCCCGGCCCCGGCCCCTTCTCCGCTGTCCCTGCCACTCGCGATCTCTGTCCGCTGCCGCTGGCCCCCTCAGTTCGCCTTCAGGCCCCCCTCGCTGTCTGGCCTACCCCAGGAACCCCCAGGCTCGTTCTCGCCCTCTCTGCCATTGCTCCCTCACTCTCGCTCCATCCGTCACCCTCGGCCGAGCCCCCTCTCCCCGGGGGGCCTGGCTCGGTCTGTCCAGTCTGGTCTGTCTGTCGGCCAGTCGCCCTCCGCCGCCGCGCGGTCCGGCTCCTTCTCCTCCTCGGCGATTACAATTTCCAGTCACACGGCAGTGCAGAGCCGCTGCCCCACGCCTCCCCTCCCCCGCCGCTCCCTCCAGCGGGGAGGGCCCGCCTCCCTCCTCCAGCCCCCCTTCCCTGCGCGGGAGCCGCCCCCTCCCCCGCTAATCAAAGGCTCCGTTATCTAATTAACCCGTTGGTTCTGGGCGGCCGGGAAGGTCTGGGCCGCGGGGGAGGGAGGGAGGGAGGGAGATGGACGGCTGGGCAGCCCGGAAAGGGGGGGTCGGCTGTGCCAGGCCTGCCCTCAGCCTCGTGGCTCCCAGACAGCTTCGTCCGCGGCCGCACAGCCGCCCTCGTGGGCTGCCCAACCACTGACTGCACTCCGAGCGCGAGCGCGGGTCCACGGCCCCTACAGGGTCCCCTGCAGCCCTCCCCGTGCCCTCACACCCCCAAGGCGCTCACCCACACCACGCGGCCATTTACTTCAATACTAGCCCCACTGATGTGCCAGCTAGCCTGGAGCCGTGCCA